CTCAACAATCAATCAAGCACTCCAACTGATTGATTGTGATTGATATAACTAAATAGATATCAGAAGCTAACGGCATATATTATCATTAACGTAAGCATTTAATTGATTTGAATATTCAAAACGCAGCCTGAATATATTTAGAAATATGAGTATTTATGAGTATATAAAAAGCTGCTCAGCAAGCGGTTTAACCACAAATTGACATATACAGTGAACGCTCTAATTAGCGGACACTGCAATTTATGTTAAACAAATTGCATTAATAAAATTCACATTCAATGTGAACCATCTTCAACCAACACCTACTTTACCAGTAAGAAAAATAATATTTTAATTGTTTTTATATACATTTTGTGTTTTGTATACAGAAATTCTTAAAATTTGCGCTAGCTGCAGCAAACACGTGTCTTAATAAGAACACATTATCCTTAATAACTTCTGTGTGTCTTCACAGATCTTGATGAAATTTTTAAGAGTAGATCTTATTGTGCTATAGAACATTTGAATATTCTCAAAAAGTCAATTGCAGTAAAATTGTGTTGGTGGGCAATACAAAACAGCGGGAAGTTGGCGATAGCTATAAAATGAAAGATTTTTGATAACTATACTATTCTTGAAGCTACTTATCAAGTTTGGTGACCTAGCTCTTATAAGGGTATAAAAACAGGAATCAAATTGAGACCTAAAATGATATTAGGGTGATTTCGACACACTTGGGCAAGTTCGTTATCATCGATTTCACTGTACGCACGTTGCGCAAAACCACAAAAACTGATAAATACTATGCATATTATATTATTTAATTGTATTCTTCTCGAAACACCCTTCACTTTGATATTTAACGGGCCGTTAAAATGGCATTTGCGAAATGTATTTGTCGAAAGGCACTTTGTAAAATCTCATAGAAAGTCACGTTGATGATTATATTGCACGTAGCCGATGTCCAGTAACAGGTACTACGTAGTAGCATACTATATCTGCATACATAGTATATACTGGTTAACTGGAGGAGGCGATGACGTTGCCCTTCAATTGAACAAACAGAAAGTTAAACAGCTTAATAAATAAACACACACACAGAAGCTAGAAGTATTTACCTTTTTACAAGCAACTATTCAGTGAGAACCCATCCATTTAATTTATCAGAAAATATATATGTAGACATATAAATAAACTTAATGCCACTTAAGATTCTGGCACTTGACTTTCGGTATCGGGCTTTTGCATTTTCAAGTGCAACTCGGGTTATACAATTGATAGAGCGCAACAAGTTGAGCCCGGGTATATAGAATGTCGCTAAGCGATATGCTAAAAGTCCCCGCTATGATAACAAACATGATGGAGCATATGAACTCGATGTTTACTATAATATTTCAGGTATCATAAGAGCCCAAGGAGGGAGTGTCAATGGCTAAAGTACAAGCCCATTGTTAACTGAGTAATTCTTGACAATCTTTGTGATACTCGTATCTAGTAGTTATTATCAGTTAATTAAACATGTTACCCAGAAAACTTTTTAAATGCCCGACGTTAAGTTATCAACTGACTAGAGATGGACGCGTGACAGATTCTCAAGGCACAACACGAACCGCACACACACTCCGTAATGTCACTTAAACGACACGCATAACTTTTTGCAAAAGAGTAAAATACTTTATTTCTTTATATTTAATTCTTTATACATATTTATAGAATTTAGAGAAAGCACAGTTTGCAACCTGACTTGGTGTTTAGCTTGAAATAAATAAAGAATTTCATTTGTTTTTCTATTATTATTTTACAAAAATCTATACATTTTTATATTTTTTTAATTTTTTGCTTATTTATATTCCTCTTGTCTTATTATTAGCACGCACACGTCTAATATTGTCTTTTTTAACACGAGCACGAAACAAAACAAAACAAACGTTCAACTCTGCTTTAGATCGTTTGAAGCACACGTTTAATATTATTCTTTCTAATCACGAATATGTCGTGTTGAATGGAGCGTGTTCGTGTTCGGCATGAATGAAAATAAAACACGCGCCCAGCTCAGCTGTAGATCGTTCTATGAAAGCGTTTAATACTTTAGAAGAGCGAAGAAGAACCAAACACGAGCCCAACTCGTCGTGTTCGTGTCACGAAAGACAACAAAACACGCGACCAGCAGCTATGCCTTAGTATGAGCACGACGTGTTCGTGTCACGATTGTTCTACGTACACGTCGAATATTTTCATTTTCAGCACGCACACGTCGTGTCACGAAAGCAAAACAAAACACGCGCCCAACTCTGCTTTAGATCGTTCTATGAATACGTCCACATATGTGGCTCGCGTTAATAAAACCGCCCATTCCATAGTTGTCATGCATAATAATAATATCTAAATTGATATGTGTTAGCTTCTTATATTTGTGTCACGTACGATGTGGTTCAGATTTGTTGTGGCTTTTGTTGCTGCTGTTTATCAATTTGCCAATTTCCTATTTTGTTGATTTTAATTAATACTAAAGATAGTGCGGCGCACTACAGCTGCGCTGCCATAAAGTAACTGTTACTTAAATTCAGCCTTCGACTATAATTTTTGTGCGCCTTGCACGGATCCATAAATTTTGACATACTTACACGCACACAACGACAAAAAAAAAAAAAAAGCCCATAAGCAACAAATTGAAATAGATTGCAAGCGATATCATTAAATTTATGGCTTTTGCAATACGAATATTTATTTATGTGTGTTTTCTGTTGAAACGCCGTTCGATTCGCTTGGCAACTTTTAATTTTGGCCTCTCGAGATTTCCAATTAACTCTACGTGACCTTCCTGAGCTCTGTGTGAAGTTCTTTGGTTAACCATCCGGCGTAGTTCCCAACCGGAGACCAAACAAAAAAAAATTAGTGAGTCACATGTGAAATTTGGACTGTCTGTTATTTACATTTAGCGACTTTTCAATCTAAATCTGTGCAAAATCACACGTTTGTCTTTTGATAGACATAAACAATTAAAAAATAAATAATTATCACATGGCAATTGACCCGTCTTTTACGCCGGCTGAAAAATCCCCTTCTGAAATACCCATTGAATGTGAGTCGAACTGGGAATGATGGTTTTACCCTTTTACCCTTTTAAAATATCTATTGAATGAGTCGAAATGGAATAATTTTTTTAGGTATATTCAAAAAGCGGTTTTATAATTTCCTAGTCAAAAGCATTTAATTATAAGACTATCGATAAATTTCCCCTGCTTTTCCGCAATCGATAGGCAGCGTCTTATTAGAGACATACAGTTATATTTGCTTAGAAGCGCAAATCCTTGCTACAGGGTATCTCTGGTTGGACAGTTAAGCATATACTCATTCTTTTGTTTGTTTCTTTTATAAGTGCTCATCAAACGATCAGTTGCGCGCAGCATGGACAATTTCAAGTGCTTTCACAGCTGATGTAGATGTGGACATACATATACATATATATATACATATATATATCTGCCTGTAAAAACGTATAATGCATAAGTTATATGCATAAGTATAGCGAAATTCAATTGAGGGAAACCCGGCGCGTGACTAGCCTCTGCGATTTGTGCATGTCAATGACCGTTCTTTTTTTTTTTTGTTTTATATTATTGGGGTGAAACTGTTAAATTGTCTATCGTCTCATAGTTGGAGGATGCGGTGCGCTTATCATTTGCGCTATATCAGCTAATATTTACCGTACATTCAAAACAGTGCTCTCTCCCTTTCTCTTTCTCTCCGCTGCATGCGAATGGTAACATATTGCTATTGCAGAAAACACTTTGACTGCGACATGTTGCGACAAGTTGTTGTTGACCTTAACAGCAGCAGCTGCCAATGCAAATACAAGCACACATGTGAGTGTGTCTTGAGGTGGCAGCCAAGGAAGTAATTGCATTTAGCCACGTTTTAGTATGCTGGCAATAATGCATTAATATTACAAATTAAATACTGAGATATCATTAATAAATAAAGTCACATGTTAATTAAAAGTCATGCCGGCAATTCGATTTAATAATTTAAATATACTATGCACCAGCTGCCCGCCGCCGTTTGGCTTGTTGTTTGTCTTTGTTGAGTGGGTCGACAGCGAGCTGCTGCTTTGTCCAAACAGGTTTAAGCCTAACAACAACAATATGAAATACATAGAAAGCCGTTTACGTTGTTGGCTATCACGTGAAAAAATTATTATTCGCCCTCGTAAGCCATTAAAAACAATCGCAAATTAGCATGCGCTCGAAACAAAAGGCAACAAACAAACACGCGCCCTACAATTACAGTTGCAACTCTGTGCATTGCAGCAATCGATAACTTTTAAGCGGGGTATCAATTAGTGGGCGTGACACGACGATCCAGCACATTGAGTGGCTTAAAAGAAAACGGCTTATTGTGCTCGAGTCGACAATTTCAACAAGTGCCCATCTCTAGCGTGTATTGCATACTTCTTCGGTATATTTGGCTTTTTCTCAATCGAGCGCTACGGCCACACTGGCATCACAGCACAACACAACAACTTGTAAACACGTAGTAAACGCAACTGTAAATCAACGTTAGCGAAAAAATATTAAAAAAAAATTAATTAGCAAAACAGCAGTGAAATTAAATACTTGCGTGCATACAGTTTAAAATAATGCATTTTTTTTTTTCAAGTAAAATGTGCTCTTATATTGGCATAACAGTTGCAACTGCATTGCTTTTGTTTTAACTTTCGGTTGCGCTTGGCTGCAGTTACCTGCTGCTGGGGAGTTCGTGTGAGTGCAGGGGGCAGGGGGAGTGTCTAATAAAGAAATCACTGAAATTGCCTGTGCTCTATTTATATTAAAAGATATACATATACATACATGTATAGACACACACACACGCGCACACACAAACGTTTGTTACGCTACAACAATGACATCACAGCTGTTGTTGGCAAAAACAAAAGTCAAACAAAAAACAAATAGCATGCAAACACAGATACGAAAACATAATTAACACTTTCTCCTTTCACTTGTTCGATCCAATTGCAGTTTCAAGAGATCGTGCCTGATATGGATGACACCGAATTCATGTTCAACGAAAAGCAATCGATACGCGACTCCTCACGCACCCTCAAGAAGTATGGCAGCACCTGCTGCAACAATCTGAGGAACAATGAAATTCTCATACGACACACGGTGGAAAAAACGGATACACTGCAAGGAATTTCACTCAAATATGGCGCCACGGTATGTGCTAGTAATAATAATAATCAGTTTGTCGGGTTAAACAAACGTTATAAAGTTATCAGTGCTGCCAGCTGTCGCAACAAAATGGCTGAATTAGCGATGTGAGCAGAGGGGATGCCAATAAATAGCTAAATCAGCCAAAATCCGCTACAAAATAGCTGAACGGGCAACACTGAAATGTATTTGAGCTAAAATTAGTTAGAATTTAGCTGAACGTAGTAGAAGTTGCTTATTGGAATTAAGCTTAAAAAAAAACTTTAAAATAGCTTTAAATAAATAGCTGAATGTAGTAGAAGTATGCTTAATCGATTTCAGCTAAAAATAAACAAAAGTAGATAGAAAATAGCTGAACTGCAAAGTATGCTTAATTTAAGCTAAAAATAGTCCAAAGTAGCTAGAAATTAGCTGAATTGGCAGCACTGCAAAGTATGCTCAATCGATTTGAGCCATGTATGCAGTATGCACTGGAAATCCCCCCCTTCCTCCGCCCCACAGAGTGTTGGGTGGGCGGGCGTCTGCACGTGTGTGGATCCGCCTGCAACTTGCAATGGCTTCTTTTTAGCTGTCGTGTGGCACGCAAATTCTTTAAAATTCCAAATGTCAGCCAACTTTCAACTTTCAATCGATTTAATAGCGTGAAATGCTTTTCGTATACATTTCATTGTTTATGAGCTGCGAGCCACGCTTGACACTAATTTTGGGCAAATAAGATAGCATCACAATTTAGTCATGGGCGGAGTAGTTGGGGCGGGGGTTTGGGCGGAGGGCGGCTTATCAGCTGTGTTATCGCGCAAACTGGAGAAATGCTGCAGCCAAATGTTCCGACAGTTTGCTGCATATGATTTATGTACAGTTCACCAGTCACGAGTGCGACCAGAATCTAGGCTAATATTTAAGTTATTCTTGTCAACATTTAATCAGCTTCCACACAGATAAGTTGTTGGGATTCTTAGTATTAGTTGTTTCATTTGGTTCATTTACCTTGTTGTTGGCCCAAATTATCATCATGACTCAAACACGGGCTGTGTCAACGCAGCCAGCCATCAATTAGTTAGTCTATTAGCTGTCACTCATTCAAATGCATGTACAGTGAACGCACGCTTGAGCGATCGTTCCACAGATATCTGGAAATGCAAGCAAATTTCTTAGGAATTTCCCATTAAAAGTCGCTTACTGTCAGCTTTTAAAGATTTTATTTTTAATAAATAGATAAGTATTATTTGTACAGTGAACACACGCTTAAGCGAACAGCGGTTCCTGATATCTGGAAAGAAAAAACCAAATATATTAAATAAGATTTGGTGACGATATAGCCGACTTCTTCCATAGAGATAGATGATATATTGGTACGACTTGATAAAAATATCTTGAAGAACAAAACTGTAGCTTATGCAAAAATTTAAGTTTCAACCGATAGTTTCCGTGGCAGCTATATAATATAGTCCTCCGATCTGAACTGTTCCGACAAAAAGTCGAAGCTTTACAGTGTTTCATGATGAAAGCTTCAAGACTGAGAGATTAGTTTATGGACAGACGAACTAGAGGACCATATCGACTCGGATGAACAAAAATATATATATATATATACATTAAATGTTTAATTTATAATATATAATTAATATTACGCGTCCGGAAATGTCTTATGCTATACTTGACACACATAAAGGCAAAATGTGTGAAAAAGGGAAGAGAGGAGCTGTCCACAAATGTCCTCCAGTCAAGCTTCGACTGTAATTGATAAGCTTATATATATTTGTTTTATTAATATAGATATGTCCACCTTTACCTAAACATTTCAGACGGAGCAAATAAGGCGCGCGAACCGTCTGTTTGCCTCGGACAGTTTGTTCCTGCGTCAGTTTTTGCTGGTGCCTGTGGAGAAGACGTCGCCCTATTATTTGCAGGCAAATGGGGCTGACCAGCTGGCCGATGTGCTGGCCTCGCCGCCGACCACGCCGGATGCAAATGTGCAGCGGGAGACGCTGAACAATGCCAACAATTTGAGCTACAACAGTGGCAGCGGCGGCAGCAGCAACAGCTGCAACACAAACATCTCGTCCAGCTCGTCGAGCACACGTTCCGGCCAGCTGCACGGCACACCGCGTCCCTATTCGATTGCCGGCGAGCTGCTGGTCCAGGCCAGTGACGAGGATCCGGCTCTGATGCACAATCACAGCGCGTGCAGCAGCAAGCAGAGCAAATCCCTGGACTCGGTGGCCGCAATGACGCCCGAGGAGGAGAATCGCAAGTGCATGAACGACTTTCTCAACAAGATAGACAACACAATATCCGAGTCACGCAAATACGTGGAACGCTCCAAGGAGTATGTGCCTCGACTGTATCAATATAAACCTATATAACATGTCCCTTTCTTTTTCTATCTTCAGTCTGGTGAACAGTCAGAGCGATGCGGAGATTTGCATCAGCCCCACAACCGATGTCTTCTCGCAACGCCGCAATCAGCAGCTGAATAACTCCTACAAGAACAACAACAACAACAACAATCGTCCGCCGCATCATCAGAGGCACAGCTCGACGGGCAGCGGCAACTCGGACACGGCGCAGCTTCTGAACACAACGCAAACGCGTCGCGTGCAAAACTCGCTGAAGCGCCTGGAGAAGCAGCAGGATGATTTCTTTGAATTGTAGCCGAGCTAGAAACTAGATTTAATTGCTGTGAGACGAGAGACGGGAGCTAGAGTTAAAGAGGGGGATAATTAAGTTTATAAATTGTTTTTAATTGCGGCACACGAAATGCTGCGCTAAATGTAAATTATAGATACGTACACTACCTTTATACTATATACCTATGTATACCTATATATGCGTACATACATTCATATATAGATATGTTTATATGTTAGGCAGCGCTGCGCTATTTAAACCTGTACTATATACTAGATGACGACGCGTTTGTCGAATGTTTATTCTTGTTTGATCTTATTGTTAGTCCCAAACTGTCAGCCCCTTTGTAATTGCCGCCAATTTGCTTGCAAGGCCCAGCCCCAGCCCCAAAATATGTTTAAATATATTTTCCTCTTTTGTATGATTAGCTTTAATTACACTTAAAAATGCCTAGTTTAGCTATGAGAATTATTAATCTTAATTCACACACACATTTAGTCGTTAGTCTCTGCAAGTTTAAATGCATAACTGACTGCTCTGTTTGCACATTTAATTGGCCGCTAAAAATAACTGTTAAATCTAACTTGTAACTTTTAATTATAATTTATATGTTAGCTTTCAATAGTATTCTTAATGTTATTGTCAATAATATATTGCAAATGTTGTCAATAATATTGCAAATATTTGTGCAATCGCGACACAATTCAGCCGTCTACTTTCCCAAGGCCAACTAAAATGCAAATCAAATTCTATGAGAAGATTTTATAAACAAAATAAAGTAAGAATGTGTTATAAAAATACTCTATTTTTTGTTTAAATACTTTAGACATATTTTGTACCATTTTACCATCTTTTGTATGTATATTGTCTGCTTAGATCTAATTTAGCTTAGATTCTGAAACGGTTGACTTTTACTTTTTCCCAACTTCTGGAATTCCATTTAACGCATGCGTAGGTTGAGCTGGTTTCTTCAGGGGAACTGGTTGCCCCTGGCAACGGGTTGGGCCAAACAATGGGCCGAGTTGTTGGGTCAAGTTTCAGAGACATTTTAGGTGGCAAACATGTCCGACCAGGAGCTGGACGCAGCTGTGATTAAGGCCACCCAGCAGAGCCTGGGCAAGTACATAAAGAAGCCGCCGCTGACAGAGAAGCTGCTCAGGAAGCCGCCCTTTCGCTACCTGATGGACATCTTTAGCGCGGTAAGGCCTAACTCTGGAATTCCTCAAAATTAGCTCAGCTTTTCTTATCTCTGTGCAGTTTATAAGGGAAACGGGCTGCTTTGAGGGTCTCTACACTCCGGAGGAGCAGCTCTTCGAGAACATCAACGATCGGTAAGACCACGAGCTAATCCCTAATCCATTAAATTTTATCCAAATATTAACAGCAATGACAAGACGCGCTTTCTGCAGAAGATGATTGATGTCACAAGTGAGTTCCCGGCTAAGACTTTATGGTATACCCCATCTAAATCCGGAGATTCGTTTCAGAACTGACCACGAAGCGGGAGCTGAAGGTGCGCACCTCGAAAATTGTGGCGGGGCACGAGCCAAGGCTGACCAACGAACTGCTACAGGCGATGGCCAGCGTCGTGGAGCAGCAATTGGACTGGCATGATGCAGTGCAGCAGGTGCTGGCTAGCGACCAGACCGAGCTGTCGAAGTCCAAGCCAAGCAAAGCCGGTGACAAACCAAAAGCTAGCGGCAAGCAAACGTCGCCAACTGCCAAGGAACAGCTCGCTCAGCGCAGAGAGAAGCGCATATCGCCGCAGGAGCAGAAGCTACGCAAGGCCACAGATCAGGCAGCACGCGCAACGCCCACCGACAAGGTGCCGGCAGCACAGCAGCGCCGGCACAAGGCCTCGCCGGAAGCGCCAAAGCCGAAGCCAAAGCCGAGCAAGCAGAGCTCCAAGCAAAAGAGTCCCTCTCCCACGTCGAAGATTAAGCAACAAGCTTTAACGGAGGCTGAACAGAAGTCCATGTCGCCGACACCTGCTGTCAAGCTGCCCTCCCCAGCGTCGTCGCCCAAGGCTGAACCGCCGGAGCCGGTCAAAGAGCTTGCCAAGGAGCCAGCCAAGGAGCCAGCCAAGGAGCCTGCCAAGGAGCCCGCCAAGGACCCACCTCCAAGTGCTGCTGCAGCTGAGCACGCGGAGCCGGAAAGCCGCAAATCCTCTAGCAAAAGTCGACGCTCCAGCGCTAGTCAGCGGCAGGCAGCAGTCGAAGCGGTCTCCCCGGATCCGTCCAAGAGCCCCAACGAAGAACAGAGCACAGCCTCAGCCTCGACTCAGCCAGCTGCGGACTCCAACATCAGTGAGCCCAAGCGGGAGCGCGAGGGCACCTTCACACGCGAGAACTCCAAGGAGTCGACACGTCCGCGCACCTCATTGCGGCCGCCCAGCGCCCGTCCGGCCTCGGCACGTCCGGGCGCACCACGGCGACGGAATGTGGAAATCGTGCTGCAGCCAAACGATCAACTCAAGATGAACGGCATCAATGTAAAGCTGGAGACGTTTGGGGACTTCGATGATGACGGCGAGAATCTGGTAGTCATTGAGGATGCCCATGCACATGACATCGATGCGGGCACGGCGGACACTGGAGCACTAGATCCGGAGGCTAATCAGGGCCGTTTGGTGCAGCAAATTCTGGAGACCCAAAAGGAGCTCGTGCAGCAGGGCAACGATGCAGGCAAGGAGGAGTCCCAGCAGAAGACTCAGTCGTCAACCACGCGGCAGAGCTCCGCGCGCCAAATGAACGATCTGCGCGACATCATACAGACCCTGACCAAGTCCGTGAATCCGCTGGGCAAGCTCCTTGACTTTATACCCGAAGACATCGATGCCATGCAGCTGGAGCTAAGCATGTGGCGGGAGTCGTACACACAGGCCGCCGCAGAGCTGAAGCGGGAGCGCAGCCTCACGGCATCCGCCACGGAGCCCATGAAGCAGCAGCTGCTCGCCATCGAGGCCAGCATTGTCGAGTACAAGGAGCTGGTCGACGAGAGTCGCCACAAGATCCTCCAGAACAATGAGCGCATACTCAAAATGCTGATGGAGCAGTGAAATGTTGTTTTTTGTGCCTTGTCTTGTAGTTTTTGAAATATGTTTTAATAGGAATACGCCGCGTAAATAAAGTAGAGTCCAAGTTTGTCGAGTCCGAGGTGTAAATTCTTAAAATCAGAGTTGATTGATCCGACAAACGAATCTTCGACATGCCGAAGACTAAATACCCTTGCAGATTGAAACTTTTATTGGTTAATATATCTTGCAAGACAAAAAACTTTTTCACACAACTTAATTTTCGGCCGATTATTCCAATAGCAGCTATATGATAAAGTAGTCCGAGGTTAACAGGATTTCGCCTATTTATGAGGTTGATTGTAAAACTGATAAATTCCGAGTTTGCCGATCTCTCCTAGAGCAGCTTTGTAACATAATGAAGTTTCCCAGCTCTCAATTAGGTCAGATCAATTAGTGATCAATAAATCAGTCAGGATCACAGCTTATATATATAAAGATGTATATTTAATAAATTTGTTTAAAAATAGTATATGAAATATCATCAGCATGTAAATTGTAAACAACAGTTCAATGGGGTGGTACATTATTATCATTCATTATCTAAGGTCACTTAGTGTTCAAACCAAAACCAACATGCTTAAGAAAATTAAATGTATCGGGTATTTCACAGCGGATGCAGCATGCATTAATTGAATTTCATCGCTTGGAATGATGAAAAAGCCGTATAGTTGACCGACTTGGTGAATACCCCTTAAATGTATTTACAAACGATTCTCGGGTGCCGTGTGTTAAGCCTCGGACTCAACAGCATCCTCTCTGGTGTCCGTGTCCGTGTTGTCGGCCTCCCTGTCTTTGCCCTTGTCTGTCTCCTGATCCTGGTCCTGATCCTCATCGCCCAGCACATACTCAATAACATCGTCGATCGGGAAATTATTGAGCAGCGCCTTTATCGAATCATTGTGAATCACCACGGTGAAGAGCAGTTTGCAATATTCGCGCATGCGACTGCCGTAGTCCAACTCGGCGTAGGCTTCGCTGCCCTTGGCCAGATCGTGGCCACAGTTCTCAATGACCTTGCACAGTACCGACTCCTCGGAGCTGTTGGGCCAGCCGTATTTCTTGAGGGTTTGCGGATCGACCAGCATGTCGATTAACTTGGCAATGTTCTCCTTGAGCTTCAGATCCTCCTCGGTCAGCACCTCGCCACTGAACTCATCATCGCTCGACGGCTCCTCCAGATTATCCGCAATGGCAGCGGCCAAGCTGGCGGCCAGTGATTTTCGCTGCTCCTTCTTGACCACCGGCGACACAGATGGCTTCTCCTTAGACGACTCGGCCTTGACGTCGGTCTCGGCCGTGGACTCGGTTGCCTTGTCACCCTCCAGCGGCAAAATGGTGTAGACCTCGTTTTCGAGGACAATGGTCTGCGCGTTGCCATCGCCCTCATCCACCAGAAACTCGCGCACCACGACTCCGTTGCCATCCGTTTTGCTGGAGATGAGCGAGCCCGCAGACGTGTTGGCCGCCGGCACGTCATCCTCCTGCTCTTTCTGCTCCTCCGCTACCGCGGCCACGACGGTCTTTTTAGCCTTACGCTTGGCTGGCGGCTCCGTGCCAAAGATGTCATCCGGATCGCACTCGTGCACGCTGCGTATATGATTCCGGAGTGTCTCGGTTGTGTCGAAGTTCTTGTCGCAAATGGCGCAGTCCGTGCGCTCGATCATTTTGGCCGAGCGCTTGGCTCGTGTCGATTTAACAGCTGCAAAAATGATTTATTAAGAGAAGCGTACACGAAGCCAAATCAGAGGCAACTTACGCGAATGATCGCCAGCATCCAGGTGCTCCTTGAGCAGCGCGCTGGTGCGGAAACTTCGTGTGCACTCCGTGCAGGCAAAGGAGGCGCGTTTCTGGCGCGTATGATCCTTCACGTGGCGCTCGAGTCTGAAACGGGTACAAGTATTAGAGTAAGGCAACGATATATCTAATGTTAAACTTACTGCTTCTCTGTTTTGAACTTTTGGATGCACAAGGAGCACGCATAGGGACGCAGATGCGTCTTGGAATGGGTGCGCAGCTGTGTGGCCTGTATAAAGCTCTTGCCGCACTCGTTGCACTTGTGCGGACGCTCGCCCGTGTGCCGCTTCATGTGACGATTAAGCACCTCCTTGACGGCAAAAGATTGGCTACACTGCGGGCGGAAAACAATAACAATTAACAGGAATAACTTAAGCCGGGATAACCAATAATACCACAAGGTATAAGCACAACAAAGAAAAAGATTGTCTATGGATTAATACGAGAAACAAGCTTTGTTCTTAAATGAAGGATAAAAAATCTCTCTGCCCCTCTTGAGGCCTTAACTTGAGAGTTTCATGCACAAAAGGGACAGAGTATATAATCTTTGTGTTATACCCCGTGGCAACAATTGGATTGGTGAAAGACTGTGGCTCTCTATCAACTAAACAGGGCAGCTTTTTTAATTTGATTAATGGAGTTGACAGGTGCGTACCACAGTGCAGGTGTATGGTTTCTCGCCCGTATGATAACGTCGATGCTTCTTGAGCGCGACCAGAGCTGAAAACTTTTTGTCGCATAGATCACAATCAAAGGGCTTCTCGCCCGTATGGGTGCGTATGTGAATGCTGCAGGAAAGGGGGCAAATTGGATTAGCATCTGGTTGGGACAAGACACAGAGCTACTTACTTGAGTGTGGAGAGACTGTAGAAGCAATTCTTGCACACATGACACATGTACTCGGGTTTCTTGACCACCTGGGTGCCCAGATGCTGTTTGAGATGAGCGCGCAAATTGTCGAGGCGATAGAAGACACGATCGCACACCTTGCAGCTCATGGTGTCGTTCTCATTGGCCGAGCAGGACGAGTATTTCTGATGGCGCTTCAGGTGATACGAGCGCGTAAAGTCCTTGCCACAGATTTTGCAGGCAAACGGCTTGCCGCGCAATTGATGCTGCTGCTCGTGCAGCTTAAGCAGCGCGCCGCTCCTCAGCTTGGCATTGCAAATGGAGCACGGATAATCATTGAACTCCGAGTGTGTTATGAAAATATGACGCTCATAGCTAGTCTGCGTCTTGAACGACTTCGGGCAATCGGGGCAGTTGATGTGACCCAGCTTAAAAGAAGATTTTAATTAGACTCTTAATGGGACTATGTGTACTTATAGTTACATGAAAGGTGTCGTAGCTCTCGCTGCAGCAGAAGCAGATGTCCTTCTTCTCCATGACCACGGCGTCCTTCTCGATCTTCTCCAGATTCTTGAGCATGTCCGCCTTGCGCAAATGATAGCCGCTGTCGTAGCGACAGAACTCCAGGTGTTTCTTTAGGCTTTTGACGCGCCGGAATGTCTTGTAGCACTTGCCGCACACGTGCTCGACCATTTCCTTGAGTTCATTATTGCCGCTTCTGCGCTTGGCACCACCTTCCACCACACCTTCATCCTCGTCATCGTCATCGTCATCATCATCCTCATCCACGCCAGATACCACAAATTCTTCACCATTCTCCTTTGCTCCAGCACCCAGCTCGACTTCATCATCGGCCAGTATAAAGTCTATGGTGTCCTCGTCCTCGACGACCACGACGCTGGTCGTGTTCTCCGCCTTGTTGTTCTCACTTTTGATGGCCTGCAGCACATAGTGATCCATTTTTTTCTTCTTGCTGGGCGATGTCTTTATCTTGGCTGTTTCCACAGCTGAGCTGGCCGGCGCCGAGCGCTTCTCGTTCAATATCTTGACGCTGGTGCTGGCGGCTTTGGGCGTGGCACGCCTGTCACCGCCCTTTGTACTTGTCTGAGCTTCATCGTTGTTGTTGTTGTTGAGTATTTTAATGCTTGTGCGTTTCTCCGGCTTGAGGCGCGGCGATACGGAGGCGCCTTTACTGGCAACTGCAGCCTTTGCTGCTACATCGTTGAGCAGCTTCATGCGTGTGCCAGTGCGTTTTTCCTTGGGTTTGTCGCCGTCAGAAATTTTGATGCTGCTGGAGGCGGGGGGAGTTGCCGGTAGGGCGTCCTTGCTGGCGCTCATTGAATGCCTTGCGAGAATCTGTGGCGGAAGCAGGATGACAAGGATCAATGGGATTGCGTAAGTTAGCCTACTTTCAGGCTCGTGATTTATTTAAATCGATCTCTTCGCCCAGCGTCACGTCAGCAACGCCTAGAAGCAGCGCACAATAAAAATGGCGGCGCCAGCCACTGATCGGTTCAAAGAGAGCGAGCGAGAGCACTCTACGTGCTGACTAATGGAAAAAAACAGGCAACAAGTTCTCTCGCTCTGCGTTTGCTCGTGAAAAAAATATTTAGGGTTGAAAATAATTCTAATATAAAACTTTGAAAATTGTTGCATACTTTTCAATATTGAATATTTCTGTTGCCGGCTTTAAAGGAATTTCGTTTAGAAATTTATTTTCTAAGTTTTCTATGCTAACTTGTTTATTTGAAATTTGAATTTTATTATATTTGCGTTACACACACGCTTCCACATACACACACACATAAAAACTGCAGTTGTGGTTTCTCTAATTAAATGTGAAACTTGCGTCAATGAAAGTCATACGTCGTCTGAAATGTCGCTGTCGACCTGATCGACTGTAGCGAAATGCAACAGTTATATGGGCAAAAACTGTGGGCGAGAGCGAGAGAGATAGCGTGGGCTTGTTATTTAGTTGTACATCTACGATGTCCACACTGACTGAAAACGATAGTTTTATATTTCTGTATCAATATCTCAATTTATTATCGACCTTAGTCAGGCTCTACTCATGCTTATTTAATTTTATTCACTCACAAATTCACAGCTCGAGCAAAGGCACGTAAGCGTACACAATGGCGTTAGCGTCGGACTATTCACACTTTTCGTAGACAAACAATCAGCTGTGCTGACATTGGTGTGACCAGGCGTTGTTTTGTCGCTCGCATTCCTAATCTCGTTACTCGTTCGAGACTTAAAATTCAATAAATTCTTTAACTGAACGATTTGAATCATTATTTTATTTGTTTATTCTTTTAAGTTTGTCTTATTTAAGCTAAAATATTTCTCATGATAGTTTAAACAATAAATAAAAAACATAACAATCACAAAACTGTTACTTGCAGCTTAAAAATATTTTTAAGCGTATATGGT